TAATTGCAGCATATCCATAACTATAAAGACAATAAATAAAATTTATATTACAGTTTGTAAGTCTTGATTGAGCAACATTTTATAGGCAACAGAGTCAAGTAGCACAAAGATTATGGTGAGCTTCTTAAAGCACTTTGTGAGCAGTAGGATCAATAGTTTTTTGATATCATATATTGATGGCCCAGTAATAGTAGTCATAATGAATATGTGTACTATCATTTGCAGTTCACTTGGTATTTTAAAAACATTATCAATTTAATTCTCACAGTAATGGTAGAACTAATAGTTATTCCTGTTTTCTCAACTCTAAATTTTGTATTCTTTTCATGCAGACTAGTAGACAATTTAGAAAAATTTGTAATTGTTAGTGTAAAAAAGTCTTTATAGAATAATACTGAATAAAAAGAAAATTAAATATAATATAGCACATGGTGTTTGATTCTCTTGTGAACCATAAATATACATCAATCAGAATTAGCTATAATATTAATTCTGTTGTCATAACAGCTATACATTTTATCTTATTTTTATTGAAATGATGGATTGAATAAAATTTAAAAATACTAGGCAAATAATTAAACATGGCTTGTGACCTGACATTTATTTGATGGAATGTTTGTATAAGTTCTGTTGTGTGTGGTTAAATATTGTTGCTGTCGTTACTTCAGACAAAATTGTTTTTTATGGTATAAAACTGGGTCTGTGAGATGTTTGCTTTTTTAAAAGTAAGGAAAATAAATGCCAGTTCGTTATTTATATCAAATTTTCTGCTCCTATGGTTTTATTGTAAACAGGAGCTAAATTACATATATGAGCAGCATAGACAAAAAATTAATGTATATTTTATATTGTCAGCTAGAGGGTGCATACCTCAGAAAAGAGGGTCATAACCAACTTATTTTTATATAATTTTTTGATTTTGTTTTTTTTTTTTTGTGGGTTTTTTGATACCCATCAGAGATTGGAGATATTTAAAAAGGAAATATTTTGAAATGATCAATAAAACTTCAAAATAGAAATCTTTTATGTAACTTAAACAATTTTAATTATGTTTCTAACAAAGTATCTTTTGCCCTTTCTCGTAGCTATTAATTGAAGGCAAAGTTGTTTTGGCTTTGTTTACCTATGTTAAAAAGCCTGAAAAACACAAAATAATCGAATGGTCTGCAGCACAGCATGAAGAACTACAGCTGCATGCAATTGCCACTTTGTCATCAGTGGCTCCTTTATTAATAGAAGAATATATGCTATGCCAAGGAAACGCTCGAGTTCTTGCATTTCTGGACTGGTGTGAGAGTGAAGGTGAGTGGCCCTTCAAGATTTTTGTCAAAATTCTAATCTTCTATTTCAACTGAATTTTCAATACATGCATAGAAAAGGCAATAAAATTAATTAAAGAGAAATTTTAAAATGCAGATCTGTCTTTTAATATATTTGTATGTCTTAAGAAAAAAAAGATTTTATTTAAAGTCAGATATTAATAGTAAATATCATAACTATAGTTGATGCACACCTAAAAGAAATCATACATATAATCTGATTTAATTTTTTGTATTATTAGTCCTAGCCAGAAATTGTATTTAGGAAGGAAATAAATCCTAGTAATGTTTTAATGCATTCATTCATCACATATTTATTGAATACCTACTAGATACCAGATACTGTTTTGGCTGCCTAAAATACATTTATGCTTAAAATAAATAAAAATCCTTACCTACATAGAACTTAAAATCTAGATCTCTAGCCAGAAGTAAAGGCTCCACTTGTAGTCTATCAAATTAGCAGAGTCCCAATTTGTATTGTATTTTATTTTGGTTCTTAAAAAGGAAATAAGAAATACATTCATGTTTTTAAAAATGTTATAAGAAAGAAACTGCTTTTTTTCTGGTAGTAATTTTGCTCTGGAAATAATTTTGTATGATGCATTTTCATTAGATCAAGAATATCACTCATTTATCTATGAGCAAGGAAAAAAAAATTATAGCCTTTTTGTTCTCTAGTTTCTAATATGTTGAGCTACTAAATTTAGTCTTGTTAAATTATTTTCCACTAAATAAAACAATTTTTCTGTCTACTCTTTATATCATTTATGTTTACAGAAGACTATAAGGCAAAAGGGAAAATGCTGCCTAACAAGAGGAAGACTGTTAGCTAACAGTTATTGAGAACCTACTATATGGTAGGCCTTAAACACCTTACAGGTATTAATACATTTAGTCCTCCCAACAAACCTAGGAAGTATAGGTACTATTATTATACCTGTTTGTCAGATGGGTAGAACTCAATCTGAGAAGCTACATTACTTGTTTCTGTCCAGAAGTGGCAGAGTGAGGATTTAATCCAGGCTCCAGAAACCACACATTTAACCAACATATGCAGTACTCAAAACAGTATTTTAAAATTTTTTTTAGCTTGAAACTTAAAGCTACTTCTACAAGAACCTTTTAAAGAAAACATATTGTAAGAAAGAGAAGACCTGCCTTGCTATTTATAAAGACCTACGATAAGGCTATAGAAATTAAAATTATGTAGTACTGGGTCAGGGACTAGACCAATGGCATGGAATGTATGGGAGGTTAGCATTATCAGAGATGACATTGCCAATCGATGAGAGAAGGTTGGTGCTGGGGCAGTTGGCTGTCCATGTGAAAAAGTAAAAATTAGATCCTTTCACTTTGTTAAAAAAAATAAATTGCACAATGAATGAAAGACCTAAGAATGAAAAGTTAAACTGTGAAGCTCTTAGAAGAAAACATGGAAAAATATCTTTATGACAGATATAAGAGTAGGAAAAAATCTCTTTAAAAAGACTCGAGAGCTTAAGCTATACAAGAAAAGATCATTGAACTTAACTGCTATAAAACATATAAATGTCTGTATGGCAAAATCTGAATGAAATACTAATCTACAAATTGAGAGAAGACATTTACTACCCCTGTAACTGATAAAGGATTAAAATCCAGGTTCATAAAGAACTCCTACATATCAACAAGAAAATAACTCAATAGAGAAGTGTATAAAGAGTATGGACTACCACATCACAAAGAAAACCCCAAATTTCCAAAAAACATTTTAAAACACTCAATCACATAGGTAATCAGGGAAATGCTAATTAAGATAACAATGAGCTACCATTTCATGTTTAACAAATTTGGAGGAAAAATCAATTAGTCTTACTGTTTTTATATGGGAAACAATTTGGCAACTTTAGTAAAATTCAGTGTGATTTTACTATATGATTCTAGTGTAACCTGGAGAACATGAACCAGAATGTTTATTATAATAGTTTGTACTAGTGAAGGATAAAGTATGATTCATTTATAAAAATGAATGCTGAAAACAACTAAAATGAATAATCTAAATCTACTTGAGACGATGTGAATTTTAAAAACAATGTTGAATAGCAGAAATAAGTTGTAAAAGATACAAACAATATGATACATTTGAGTAATATTTTGAAACATATATTCTGTTCTGGGAATAGAAGGAAGTAGGGGAAGGGATATATTTTATTTCTCTAAAAAAAACTAAAGCAAATAAGGCAAAATTTTAACTTCTGTTTAAACGTATAGATATATAAGGTATCTGATATATTGTGTTGTTTATTTGAAATGTTTTTGTTTTAAATTTCTTGATTTAAAGTAAATTATTAATTTTTCTTCACAGATCCTTTCTTTAGTCATGGTAACAGTTTTCATGGTACAGGTGGCCGTGGCAACAAGTTCGCCCAGATGCGTTACAGTTTAAGACTTCTGAGAGCCATGGTCTACCTCGAAGATGAGACTATAAACACAGATCTTTGTGAAAAGGGAGCAATTCAGCAAATGATAGGTAAAATGTAACGTGGTAGTTTACTGATGAAAGGGGAATATTTATATTAACAGATCCTTTCTTTAGTCATGGTAACAGTTTTCATGGTACAGGTGGCCGTGGCAACAAGTTTGCCCAGATGCG